GTGTTTTGCCAGGGGTCTCTATCCTTTCTCTCTCAGAAGCAGCTGTCGTTGAAAATCTTGTCTTGGTTGTGGGGAGGTGACACCTTGCTCTTTGCAGGCTGGACTCCATGGCAGCTATTCTGAATGGAAATTGGAGAGTGCAGTCTGTCTAGAAACAGTTTAGGCTGATGCCTCCTACAGTAGATATACTTCTAGGCTTTAGTCTTTGTTTTCCCCAAACCCAATTGATGACTGTAGAACATTTCCCTCTGTGAGCCTCCCTGGACTTTTTGTCAGCATACTAATTTTATTTCCAACATTCCCTAGAAGAGGGAAGAGCATACCATGTGTCATAGAAAGCTACTGGTTAGGGGACTGTGAGTGGAATCTGTTTGGATAGCAAAAGAAATACTGTTGTGTTCAGTGCTTCTTGCCTACAAAAGAGCTGTAAATAAGTGGGATAGGAATTTTCTTTCCAGTGTGAAGAAATTTACAAAAAGGATTCATCCATGTAGCTCATGATTGGACTTACATTTCTGGAAAAGCTTTGATATATCTAATTATGATTGTGTGCTGTGTCTGCCAGTGTGAGGGGAGAATAAGGGCTGAAAAAGATAAGTAGCAGTCATTCTGCAAGTGGATAACAATCTTAAAGATCAGATTTAATACCTAAAGTTCAACAATAGGATCTCTGGGACAAAAGTGATGAGTAATGCAATGTAATGTTTCAGCTCATGGAGGTTTCTTGTAAGACTGACGCATCAGTGGTGACTGGGGACATTATGGCTCTTGTAGGCTTGGTTTCCTCAGAACAGGGCATGCTTCTGTCACTGTGGATGTTTAACTTTGTTCACCGTTCTGTCAATCCTGTTATTATCTTTCGATGTCACTGATGAACTTCTGCTAAGTGCAACACTGAGCCTCTGAAGTAATAGGGTTCCCAGTTACTCCTGAGGGGAAGGACTATGCAGGGGATTTGTGCCAGCTGTGACACGTTCTACAATGAGCTGAGCAGTCAGCACAAGTGACCTAGCCAGCTAACCAGCATTCATACAGCTCCAAGGCAGCCACAGTATGTGTGCTTGGTCATCAGGATTCATGAGGGAATTTCATAGCAGACCCATCTGCATTAGGAATAAATCAGGCTTGGGTAACAAGTCTTTCTGAGACCAGAGATTTTTACACTCCAAATCTCCTATGAAAAATGTAGTTCTGGCTTTTTCTGATCTTCAATTTAACCTTCAAATTTTACTGAACAAACTTAACAAACCTCCTGAGTCATCAGACAACTGCAATGAAGCAGAGTTTGGAAACACCCAAAACTTTAAACTTGGCATCAAAACAAATACCATTCAGTTCTGTTTGTATATTGAATACTTAATTTTTGTTGTCCAAACAGGAAGACTCCCAGCTACACACTTAGTCAGCACAATACTCCTTTCTGCTTTCTGTTGTTTTTGTCCCAGTGGGAGAAAAATGCAGCTCTCTGTCTCTGCACGTGGAATCTCACTTGGGAAGAAAACACTTTGCTAATGTCGCAGCGTGCTTTCAAATCTCTAGCAAGTCATACTGGGGCAATAGAGAGGCTAAATCACTCCTCTTGTTAGGGCAATTTTTTCTCAAAGCACTCAATTATCACATAGGTTAGCTGGCATGCCTCACAGACTTCCCGGTATTCACCTTTTGAATCAGATGCAGCAGGCTAAGCAACATCAGTCTTAGCAGGCCAGTGCTCCAGTAAGCCTCAGGAGCAAAGACTTCAAGAGAAATGAAACCATAGGGAAATGCTGGACATGGTAAACTGTCAGAAAAGAAACATACTTAGAAGGAAAAAAGTCAGAAAAGACTTGAAAGATCTTTTTGGATTTTTAAGAGTTAGTGAAATTGAGCTACAAGACCTTCAGAAATTTATCGATATAAATGAGAATCTGTTGGTTTACTAACAAAATGTACATATGCATAGAACTTCAAGAACTGAAAGTCCAATTTACATACACTGCTTCAATACTCAGACTTTAATTCTCTTGTTCTTAGACTGAATAAATAAGTAGAGGAAAATGAAACAGTCACTCTTCTTCTTTTTTTCTCTGCAGGTTGAACTTATTTGTCTTCCAACTTGAGCAAATGTACTTCCATGCATAGCAATAGGCTTACAGATCAGAGAGGAAACAAGCCATCTATTCCTACAATTAACTGCACAAAACCAAGACTGCATGTCTTTATGGAGATAGGCAACAGAGAAAGAGATCACGAACACATATGTACAGGCAACTTACCTCTGCTCTGACTGCCTTACTTGTGTCTTCGGCTGCAGTTCCTTGTCTGTCTCCAGCAGCAGAATGATTCACTGGCAGAAACCTGTGCCAATAAAAGGAAGTCCAAGCACAATGAGCACTTCAGGATAGCGAGTGTCATGAGTTGGCAGCATGTATTGTAGAGCATGTTTAACTGCTGATTTGGCAGTGCTTCAGAAGTGAGGAAATCTTTGTGATGAAAAAGATCTTCCAGTTAAATTCACAAAACCATGTATCAGGAGAGGTTAACAATTGCTTACATACCAGTGGTTATGATATTCAGCACGGACCTGGGCATTCCAGTTCCCTGGGCTGTGGCAGACCTTGACCTGTAATGTTTCACACTTTGAGGACTGCTTTAAATATAATATTTTAGGATGAAAAGTAAGAAGTGTCTAATTTCTCACAACATACTGTCTGAAGAATATTCTTCTTGCTACTGATCTGCATTTATGTTAACTTCAAATTTATCTTTGCACACACATTCCTAAACATGTTTTTGAGTGAGGACCACAACTCTGGATATCCGTATTATTCTCAATTAGGCTCTCAGAGTTGACGCGGCTCACATAGAGACACTCTCATGTCAAAGAAGGCTTGAACACTTTGTAAAACCTTTCTCCCAGGGAGAGAATAAACAAGAGTTACTGTTTCTCCCTAGCTATTTTCAGAAACTTTGAAAACACTGTATCTTTGGGGGACCTCTTCCTGACTGCTGGATTCATTGTGGTCAGCTCAGAGGCTCATTCTCACTGAAACTGATGGCTAGAAGGATGACTAGAAGGGCACGTTGTTTTTTTTAAGGCAGCCACCTAGGCTACAATCAAAGCAGAATCCTCATGCCTGAATACCAGGCCTTTGGCCAATGAATTCATAAATATCTTTGGAAGAACTCGTGTTTTGTCATGAACTGACTGCTGAGCTTTTAGAAGAGCAGCAGATGAAAGATATATATTCTCAGCTGCTAATACAATGCTGTAAGCTGGCAGAGGAAGGAGAGAAGTGATGTAAGAACAGGATACCAGAGAAACCACAGTAACAGTTCTATTCTACACACAAACTACAAAAAATCTACTTTACACCACAATGAGAGCATTATGTGGAATGATGGAAAAGATGATTTATTAGTGAAAAGCACTATAGCTTTGATGTTTCTGCATGATAAACTTTCATCAAAGCTTAACTTTCTCTGTCAGAAGAGCTCTGAAATATGATGATACACCGCTCCTCATGTCCTAAGGTGAGATCAACATTCTCCGTGATATTTCCAGTACCACTTGTCCAGCCTGTTTTTACTGATTTCCCATGGCAAAATTTTCAACACCCAGCCTCTTATTTGGTCTCTCAAGTTGCAAGATAGGTGCATAGCTGCAGTCTCTTTCCCAAGTGAATTTGAGGGATGCTCTGCTACTGCTATTGCATTTCTAAACCTAATTCATATGCTAGATCTCAAGTTGACACACATTTCCCTTTACCAGCAGTAAGTCTGTTGATGGGCTTACTCTCTTCAATGCATTTATCCTTTTATTTTGGAATTTACATTGAGTGGAGGGTATATCTCTGCCTGGAAGGAATTTGATTTGATTTTTTCAAACTTTATATTTGTGGAGGCCAAAGAAGCAAAATGGGCTTCAACTCAGGAGGCAAAACAGGACTGTTGGTGGTATTGGTAAGGAAAGGGATAGAAGTGGCATCGGCCATGGTTAGTTTTTTGGTTTATGCATAGAGTTATATAATGTCACCTGTAAACTATCTTAGTGCAACAGCTGTAACTGCTGATTAACATCCCATACTTCACTTGTCTTGATGCTTGATTCAAATGGAGACTGAGGGTGACACTGAAAAAGTGACACCCTAAGTGCACTCTATTTCTTTTCCACTAATGAGACTTCATTGTGAGACGCAGAAAGCTATAATACTGTAACCTAATAACCAAGGAGGCTATCCTTCAAGTGAGTGCTTTTATGCAATAACTACATCACTGCTGCAAGGTTTGTAGAGACAGATTTCCCACAGGAGATGGAATAGGACGGAATAGCACCTTCAGTGCTTTTTCTAAAGCACTCTTTCCAGCCTAGGGAAGGGCTCTCTTTCAAATGAAGACAAACCAACTTTTTTTTCTTTTTCTTTTTACAGTACTGAATATTTTGTGTGAACTCTGTTTTTTCTTTCTGGTTATCATCTTACTAATAATAAAAGTGATAAATGCTGTAACTGCTGGAGTTATCTCAGTTTATACAGTCCTTTCAAAAACCGCCAACCCAATAAAGTGAGAAATTATGTAATCAGTGGAAAACTTCTTCAGATCAGTGATCATATTCAGAAAAAGTTAGCCAGATAGGGCTACTGCTTATGAGTTAAGGATACTTCTGCACCAGATCAATAATTTCATTGTAAACACACAAAGGTGCATCCAATCTCCAGAGGAAATCCAAGTGTGCCCATTCAGGAATCATCTTGTGATAGAGGAGCCTCTTAATCTGAGAAAGTAAAACGGCCACATCCTTGGGATCTGCGAGCAAGTCTTTTCCCCTAGTCCATACTGCAGTTGGTACAATCATCTGTTCTAATTTGTATAGAGGAGGAGTAGCCTGGAAAACATGAAGCAGTGCTGGAATGAATGTCCAGTAAAGAAGAATAACCTTTAAACATGCATCTGGTGTTTTCTTCAGTCAGTGTTCAAAGTAGAGTTGCCTAAGACAAAGGGTGGGGAAGTGCCCTTGCTTGCCTTTTCTGTCTGTGTTCACAGCAATGATCAGATGACAATACAGGCAAAAGAAACACACCTCCTGAGCTGACAAACAATTGCAGTCAGATCTTTGCTCTCTCAGCTAGGAAATTGTAGGGCAGGAGCCCAGAACAAGACAGAGGATGCCTGGATAAACCTCTGTCTTGGACCTCATCTCATATATTCCTTTTGGAGTACTGGTCAGCCCCAGGAGACGCACGTAGTCTGGTTAGAAAAGGCAAGGTGTCACAAGCATGAGGTGAAAAGAAGCATGAGGTGACTTCTGTAGCAGGAGAGAGGAAGCTGTTCAGGATTCCTGAATTTGGAAAATAGGGGCCAGCATGGGGACAGGAGACAAACTTAAACAGTCATGAGTGGTATGAAGAAAGAATACAGGAAGTAATTATCTCATTGTTTCTCAGAACACAAAACCTAGAAGGCATCCAGTGACTTTCCAGGGGCAAGAAAATTCAAGACAAGCCAAAGGAAGCTATTTTTCATGCAAGCCATCATCAAAACACGTAACATTAAACTCCTAATTACAGACTGTTTTGGAGACCTAAAGGGTCAGAGGGTCAAGGATGGGCTCAGAGTCTTGGATGGAGGAGAGGTTGCTCAGGGTGTATGAAAGGTCAAAGTCTCCTGAGTCCAGAATCTAGGTAGCTTTTAGACACACTAGGACTCTCCACTTGCCTTCTTCCTGATACTATTTCCCTTTGGCAACTGTCAGCCATGCTCATAGGCAAAATTCCTCTTTGGTCTGATCCACTAGACGTTCTTTTTCAGAATTCATTTTCCATCTCTTCTGCCCTTCTTTCTTATTATTACTATTGACCATTTCATGAAAAAAGGTTTGATCTTACTATCTCTTTTCCTTTTATTTTTTTCTTCTTTCTTTTACTTTTTTTTTTTTTTTTTTTTTTTTTTTTTACCCAGTTTTTGTTAACAACAACGTTTGCATTTTTCTCTCTGAACTTCCAAATTGGAAATCATAATACAAACTGTGGTGGCTAAATCCTTCTACATGTATTCAGAAACTGTGACTCTTGATACATCATTACTCTCTTTCCCAGTGCTTCTGCATTGTCGAAGGGTGACAATATTATTTCACTGAATGGTACCTGTTGGTATTTCTTGATGTTCTTCTTTGAACTGTCCCAGTCATAAGCTTGGAACTTCCCTGAATGGGCTTCCTAATAGGATGAACCAGAGAAGAGTAGTTACAAAGCTGTCATTCAGGAAGGTTATGGGACTTCTCCCTACTAAGCCTCTGACACAAATCCAAAGCCTCAGCTGAAGCTTTTCTCTTTTAAGATCTATGAAAGAGACAGCAGTTAGTTAAAAGCCTCAAGCAGCAAAAATGAGTTGAACATTTTTATCAGTGTCAAAAGAATCAGCGCACCTGTAGAAAGATTTAGGGATGCTTTCACAGGCAATTTGTTCTAGTCTGTAACCTTGCTATTAGTGTCTGCCTCCAGCTAGTGCCCTTCCATGCTGTTGCTGTGTCCTCTTCTGACAGTCATGTACCCTCCCTCAGCTCTGGGAGTGGCTCCTTTCTAGGTTTTCACTTCTCCCTCCCGTTTGAATACAGAAGTCACCACTTCTAGGTTTCCCCTCTTGATCCTTCTCTATGCCTACTGCATGCATTTTTCCACTGTAAGAGAAACCACCAGTGGGATTTAATACTGATGCAAGGTGTCTGTTAACTCCTATAACAGTAATAATAGCAATAACAACAACAGCTTAGGAGTATTACTCCTGCATGTCTGTACCTGCCAGTCTATGACTAGATGCTGAATTAAACCTCAGTCTATTTGCAGAGCTCCCTCACAGTACCTCTGTAACCTTTCTTCCTTACAGGTCTGCAATGGTTATGAAACAACTTATCATCTAATATCCCATGTGAATTCACAGCCAAGGTGTTACTTGATTTTGAGTAAATGCCTGTGCAGCTGTAACTCAATACGTTCTTGTGTTTGCTATGTTGAAAAGTGCACAAGCTTTCCTGCAAATTCACCCTGCTTGCAAGTGAATCCTGCTCTGCTGCAGGGCAGAGCCTGCAGTGCTGCCATGCACTCTCTGCATACAACAACCTGTATGATGAGCCCAAAGAGAAACAGGCATATTCCATCAGCATTGGTGATGGACAGTACTTTGTAAATAAATGAACCATTTATTATTTATAGTTCTATTTTTGCCCACAAATAGAAAACTTAGAAAACAAGACATGAAAATACAAAGGTCCTTATTCATCAAATCTGATATTCTACAAAGCACCTGATGTCTCTGCTCATTTCTTGACCCCACATTAGAGAAATAAATGGTGATTTCTTACAGCAGGCTCTGCACTGAAGTGCAGACACCATTTATATAGGGTACTGGATACTCAATAAAAAGAGTGCTATACACATCTGCATATACAACCTTCAGCATGCACTAATTCAGTGTTTCGCTGTTGGTTTCACATGTTCCTGTGTCACAGAGGATATTTCTGTTCTGCTGGCAAAAGAGAGATCAGTGAAAAATAATGTGTTGAACTGAGATATTAATTGTGAAGAACAGATTGCATGTATTTCCTAGCAGTGAGCAAAGTTTTCACAGCAAGATATCAGCTACCTACATTCCATAGAGTACAACCAGGGGTTAGAACTTATTCTGTGTGCCAGAAGTTTGATCACTTGTACCAGACTCCAGTGGATTATGTTTTGCACAGATGTTCCAGCAGCAGCTCATGCAATATACATGTTGACCCGGTTCTGAAAGAAAATATTTAGTGAATGTTCTCTTTCTCTCTCCTAATCAGCTGTGCATCAGAAGCAGCCAGAGCAGCATCTTGTACCAATAAAACCAAGAGAAAGCACAGTGGTGTGACCAGAGACTTCCCCAGAACTCCATGTGCATCAGGTTTGGAGCAACAGAAAAAGGACAGCTGCCAATCAGAACATTTTCCAGGATGATAAAGAACCTGAAAGAATCTGAGATGGAGAAGGCTAGGTGGAAAGTCAACAGTCTTCCTCTCAAAGCAAGTGATTTATTTGGAAGTCTTGAGGCAGCTGTGGGTTGTAGAGATGATGCTGAGTGTTCTTATGAGGAGAAAGGCCATGCTGCCCTGCCAGCGCTGAGGCAAACAGTGGATAGCACTGTCTGGTACTGGAACTATTCCCTGTTGTGTTATGCAGAAAAATAGAGTTCCGGCTTCATTGTACAGGATGGGAGGTAGGTTTTGGGAGCAGAAGCTTAAACTGTTGTTCAAACTGGTAAGAGCACTACATACCATGTCAATGTAATTCACGTTATAGCCCTCCACACTGAAGAAGACATTTCTATAAAGCTTGGCAAAAGCAAGGTGGCTGCAGAGAGGGACTATCAGCCTCCTTAGACATTCAGTCTGGGTAAGGAATTCTCTTTTGCCAAGCAAACCCTGTGAAAGAAAGGTAGCATTCATTTCAGAATGTGCACTGCAAAATGTTCCTTTAAAAAGGTTTGGACCCTGTTCCTCTCACCCAGATCTTTTGTTGGTTCTCATATTTTCTTCCTTTGTCAGATGATGTTAACACAAACAAGAACGATCCTAGGTGTTTTCCATTGCATCAGCCTGTCAGGCATTGCCCAACTCATGTTACATCATTTTTAATGAAGGTATGTGTTAAATGTTAACTCTGATTTATATTTTAGTTCTAAGCTTGCAAATAATTCCATGCATAAGTAGCTTTGCACATATGATCTGCCATACTGATTTGACTCTGATTTTCATATCACTGTGAATTAAGGAGCGCACTCATTTCTGCTTTAGTGTTTGCTGATCTGGGCATCAAGAAATTAATTTTTTATTACTGCAATTAATGGCACCTGATAATTGCCATTAGGATAGGATAAGTAACTGGATATTTTGTGGGCAGATCCAAGACTGTGTAGAAACCCAACCTTGTGTGTGCTATCCTAAAAAACATCACACACTACCCTCGTTGGGCTCCTTTTTCCTTTTTGTGTTAGCTCAGTTTGCCCAAATCTGCAAAGACAAATCAAGAAACATTTTTCCTACAATTCCCAGAACATTGTCGTATGGCTGGCATGCCTTTAAAAGATGTTGAAAGTTACACCTGATGAGAGGTAATGGCTTTTGGGCTCAGAGTATCCTCTGTGGCCATGAATTTGGAATTACTGATAGCCTGCACCTGGATGGTAGCTTGGCAGATCCTTAGCCATTCAGCCTGCTTCTTTCATGCCTTTAAAAGCTGAAGATTAGAGGAAGTTCTAATTTAGTTTGTGGAGCCACCAAAAAGTTGCTTGGAAGAACCTTTTGGAAGTTTCATCTGGAGGCCTCTCCTACAAGCAGAAATAGACCAAGCTGGCTGCGGCTTTTTCTAGAAGGAGGCTGGAGATCTCGAAGGTCTGTGTTGCTGTGCTTCTCTGGGTAACTTGTTCCAATATCACGTTACTGTCCTACAAAAAGCTTTTCCTATTGTCCTGCATGAACTATAATCATAAGGTGAATCTACTTACCTCCAAATAGGTAAACTTTATAAAGTGCTAAACCTTCTATATGTCCCCTTTAAGAGCTGAGCAAACAAGTGTAGATAATCCTACATCTGAAGCTGAGATACCACGTACCCAGAGCAGTTTCTCCGGAAGGTATGCTGGGCTTTTGGCACAGTTAATAGCAGTGATAGGTGCCAAAGCAATAAAGAGTTTGATTTTTCTGTGCCAGTTCTGGCATTGCTGAAAAAGCAATGAAAGCTGAAGAAATAAAAACAAAGTGAAAAGAAAATCGTTTTTGTACCTCAGACTTTTTGCAGTATTTATGTATACTGTTCTGCTATCTCAAAACTACAGTCAGCCTTGTTAGTTTTTCAGAGGCTGCAATTCAGCTTGGCTTCGTATGAAGTATCTCTGCTCCTTGTATTATCAGCTTGTGGTCTTACTTCCCACTTCAGAGACATTAATTTATATGTTTTGCATTTACAATTTTCTCCCAAGTTCATTTAAATATAAGTAAATACTTCGATGTACACATGTGTTTGGTATACTGTTGTGAGTTACAGATGTTTTCCTTCCTCTCAATCCCTTTTGTGTATATGTATGTATACATATTGTGATATTTGGTATCACAAACTGGCCAACTTTTCCTTCTCTTCCATTCTCTTCCTACCATCCTCTTCCTATTTTGTTTGTGGGTGGTTTTTTTTTTTTAGCTAGCCAGTGCTAGTTGTTGAGCACACACATCTTGAAAGGAACAAAAAGGCTCAAAATAATTTCTGGTATAATTCTAAGCTGAAGCATTTACAGCTGTGGTACATTTGACCCCTTAGGTTTAATCATCTTTACAATAAATTAAACCTGCCTATATGCTGAAAACAGCTCATCACATGTTTTTTATTCCAGCAAAGAGCTGATAAAAAGCTGAGGTACTCTGAATGTCTCAAACTAGGCTTTACTTCTATTTTCCTGAAGTGTTGGTCTGCCATGTGTAACTTACCAGTGGTGGTGCCTTGTGAATAACAAATATAGTATAGCTTTTCCTGTCCAGTCTTCTTCACTATAAAGTTTATTGCTGCTGGAAGATCAAATTTGGCCATCTCATCAAAACTGCAGATAGGAGATTGAAAGAGAGATGTCCGTAACTTAAGATATCATTTGAATTTATGTTTTTATTACAGACTTGTTGGCAAATGAAGTATTCTATGAATCACTTAGCTGTTTCAGATCCAGTGTTTAAGGGCACTGGATACAGAAGATACTAGTTGAGCTTTGCTGGGCTATTTTCATCCCTGACATTAACAAGAGGATTCTGACTTCAAGGAGCATTGAGTTGAACTGTAACAAGTGGAGATACATTAGCAGAGATCTTCCTATGGATTCACACATTTTACACAATTTGCCAGTAAACAGTGTATTTTTTAATGTTCATTAAGATAAGTAGAAAGAAATTGCTTTGTATCTTTTGTGATTTTTTTTTTTTTTTTTTTGTCGTTCAAATATATGGGCCAGTGTTTCTAAAAACTCTTCAAAACCAGAATAGCTGGGACACAAGTTCTGCAGATCCCTCTGAGCTTTCCTCGTGCTGTGCCTCCAACCTGAACTCTGCTAGCAATAAAGGAGGTGATTAGTCTGCACCTCTGTTAAGCCCATGTAATTGCATTGGAACATCTCAGCTGATGTGAATGTAAATAATGCTTTTTAAAAATTAATGTATGTTAATCCCTGATTTAACCAAATGAAATTAATACACTCCTCAATGTTTTGACCTATCAGAAAGCTCAGAACTCATCTTGATCAGTGGAATAATTTTGATGTCTCTGGACCAGCAATTCCCTCTGCTGTTTCCCATCCAAACATCATAGCTAGCATCAGCTAACATGAAGGCCAAGCTGTTGTTGGGATGATTTGTGACCCAGTTACTGGCATCTCCCAGTAGTCCATGTTGGAGAAATACAGCCAGTTTTGCAATTGAAAAGCCATATCAGAAACAAAACAACATTTCATAAAATTTCTTGATTTTTCTGGTAGTTAAGGGACATTGCTGTCCTATATTCAACGCAGGGATTTGGCCCTGTACCATCTTACAGGGAGATAGCTGATCATAAGAACAGAGCACACCTGTCTGTAAAGAGAGAATCTCTTGTAAAGTTTTGGAAACATCTGTAGGAAGGTAAGTCCAGTTATCAGCAACAGTGGGTTGGCAGCCACAGGTCACTGTTTGTATATCTGAAGATGCTCAGTACTGATAGGAACAAGGAAGATACGGGATCATTTGCAGACATTTCATGTATCCAAAATATGAATCAGACACTGAAATTAAAAAGGTGTAAGACAAAATAAACTCAGAAGCTGGACCTGCTCTTGCAAAATGGGCGGATTAATCAGGCTGCACCTTTTATCTGATGTACACACACACGTACATATATCTTAACTTTACTCATCAACTCCTATTATGATGAAATTACAATGCTTAATTCATATTAGGAGTTTTTCACTACAAGCAGAGGTGCTTGACATAAATCCCGTTGACCACACAAACTGCTCGAGGCAGCTAGAATGCTGAAAATTCACTTGTGTGCACAAACTCTGGTAGATGTCTTATAACTCTGCAGTATCTCTTTCTAGAATACATCCTAACTGAGCTGCGTTTGTTTCCTATTAGTAAACTGTACTTGGATTTTCCTGATTTTGTGTACCATAGGAGATTCTGTTAGTAGTAATGATATAACCATCTTCAGCCATTACTTCGTACTCCTGCTGGGGGACCTTTTGTATGCGATGAGGTCATTCTGCAAGAGAAAGAACAAATGCATTTGTTTGCACAAGTTCTTTTCATTCATTACCTGCTTAAGATATTTGTTACAAAGAAATAATAGAGAGCAACAACAACTGGGGTTTCTTTTCAGGTATTTAAGCATTTGTATGAAACAATATTAGATGGGGATATTGTAACCCCCAAACTACTACTAAAATTCCTTCGTTCCTTGTGTAACCTCTAGGGTTTGACTATTCAGTTAAAATAATTTTTAAAAACTGTTGCACCACTGACATCTGATCACAAACCTTTGAGTAATGTAAAAACTACAGTAGCATGATAGTAGGAGCTTGCATTTCACAGACCTGAGATGAGGAACTGCCTGGGTGCATTTATGAAAGAGGGTAGTTTTTTTAGAACTTATACTTGCAGAATTATTCAGTGTAACTTTTCATGCAGGAAAGAAAAAAAAAATTCTAGCAAGTGAATACAGACCTAAACAAGCTTGATTGGTTGAGAGGTGCTCTTCTGGGAAGCTGTCCATTTCAAATCTGCGCTGGTCATTTGAGTTGCTAGTAATTCAGAGCCTTCTTTGCTGGTGAAATGCTGGCAGAGCATTCCAAAAGTTCATTCTTTCAGATACAGGGAGAGTGCCAAACCAGTAACTGATATTAAAAGGAAATTAATACTGCAGATGTACTAAGGAGAGTAGTTCGCTTTGGTTTGTAGCAGAAAACAACAGCACGTAGAGTGATTAGAGTTGGTTAAATGAAGGCAGTTTGTCTACCTTTTTATTCACAATACCTAGAAATTTCTCTGCTGTGAGCTGTGCATTCCTTTGTCCCTAGCTAATTCCACCAAGAAACTTACATTATTCATAAATGCTTCAGGATCATTTTTCTGATTTCTTCTGAACAACTAATTCCTTGAAACAAATACATCACAGTAAAAAAAAAAAAAAAAAAAAAGCCATATCTTCTCCCTGGATAAAACAATATATACACCTGTCAGGAGTCCTGCTCTGCACTTGTGTCCAGGCAAGATCTATGCTTTTCTGTGAGAGAAGCGTTGCTCAAAACTAAATGCAGTTAGTCTGATGCTCTCTACTTGTTAATTAAACTGAACAAATCTGACTTTAAACATGTCTGAGGGAATTTGGCAGCAGTCTGGATTCTCTGCTAATATTTGTGTTAGAATGTTGCTCTCCATCAAGGTGAAAAGCATCAGAGAATCCAAGGAAAGGAACATTTTTGTAGAAACTGATTACACTCATTCTTTGGAGAAGGAAGTCACTTGTGTTACAAAGCCAATACCCTATCCTGTATGTTAATCAGGGAACTTTTCTAGGTAACTCTTGGGGATGTTAGAATTATTGGGCAAATCAGTTATTTACTATCTAGGTAAGGATTAAGGCTTCTAAATGAAGTATTTATTTGTAGTTGCCTAATGTAATTTATAAAGAACTGCTCAGTGGCAAAATTTCTCCAATCTGTAAAATGAGAATAGGGAAAGGAAAAGAGAGCTTTGATAAATGTAATGATAGGTAAAGACTGAATGTAATTACACCCAGGCTTGTTTATGAAATTAGAACTGGAAAAAAAATGTGAGGAATCTGGCCTGTTTGAATGAATACACAGCAGCTTTACAATCTATGCTCTCAGCTCAAAAATGATGCAGGATATTTGGATGAGCATTCCCTCTGCAGTATACAAATATCTGGAGCATGCTGAAAACTCAGTGGTTCCAGTGACATATCTCTAAGATGGACTGAATTAGCCAGCAAATCTACTGCATGTGTTATTTTCCCACTCAATGAGGTTGTGATTGTTTTCCTCCATCAGAAAGCTTGGTTTTTGTGGTGTTTTTTTTTGGTTTTTTTTTTTTTTTTTTTTTAATCACAGAACAAATGCACAATTTATATTCTCACTTCCTTACTTTCTGATATTACCTAAAATATCTGTCTCTTTTGTAGGAAAAGGAAGAGACATTATAAAGCTTTATTTTTGCCTAGCTGCTCTTAGGTAAGTGAAAGTGTTACTGATCTTGAGCCAGAAATCATGTGTTCTGCTGAGCAGCTGAGGGATGGAGACTCATTTTGTGGGTGTCTGAAAGCAATGCTGGGCAAAGAAGGCAGTGAAGTGTTGATCATCCAGTGTTTTCCCCACAATCATGTAAAATATTGCCAATAAACATCGATTTCTTTCCCATTCCTCATTCCCTCTGACAACGTTTGAGCTTTCAGGTGTTAGCAGAGAGGTGACTCCTTTTGTTTTCAGACTTCATGCTTTTCGTCTCCTCAGCCATTACGTAAGTAACCGCCTTTTCTTTACAATCACAGATAGCTGGATTTTTAAGGAGAATACCAGCCTCCACGGACTGGCATTGCAGGATCAGGACAAGATTTGTTCTGAGAACAGATATTGTACCTCATGAAATTGTAAATATAGAATTCTTGTTTACTTACAGCCTGCCAATTCCAGCTTTTCATCTTATGTAGAAAGAACGGGATACACTCTGACTCTTTGATCACAGATCACAGAACCACCAAGGTTGGAAAAGACCTTCAAGATCATCCAGTCCAACCATCCACCTATCACCAATAGTATTCACTAAACCGTGTCCCTCAATACAAAATCCAAATGTTCCTTGAACACCTTCAGGGTCGGTGATTCCACCACCTCCCTGGGCAGCCCATTCCAGTGCCTGACCACTCTTTCAGAAAAGTGGTACCTCTACAGATTTCATTGCACATATTTTTCTTCTGTTCTTTTAAGGTTAATGTTGTTCCCCAGTTTAATGCTGTTGTAAGAATAGTAGCAGGACATTTTCCTTTATTTGTATTATTTGCAACCAAGGTGTCCACAAAGTGGGTATTACCTAAATGTATAGTTAGGAAGCTTGAATGTTTTTCCATATCCTTATGGACATAGGAAACATACCCATAAGGCTGTGGGCCTCAAGCATACTACAAGCTGGCCAGCATCACCCAGGTTGGAACTTAGGTAGGTTTGAGAAGGTGGCCACGTCTTCAGAATAGGGTACTTATGAGGCTCTTTGTGCAGAGTATAGACATGATATGGCCGTGTTCCCTATCTGATGTCTGAGCTACTCTTCAATGAGAAATATAACAGCCTAGGTTCAGATTATGCCAAGGAAATAGGAAAATAAATGATTTTCGGAGTTGGGTTTAGCATGTGTTTCCAAACTTTGTCTCCTTGTGGGATTGGGATTTCTTTGTTTTTTTTTTTTTTTTAATCTTGTGTTTACCTCCTTGCATGTAAGTAACGTCTTACATCTTTTAGGACAAGAGGTAATGGCTTTAAGTTACTCTGGAAGAGGTTCAGGCTGAATATTATGAGAAGTTTCGTCTCAGAAAAGTGGTGATGCATTTGTAGAGGCTGCTCAGGGAGTTGGTAGTGGAGTCACCATCCTTGAAGGTGCTTCAGAACTGTGGAGGCATGGCATTGAGGGACATGGTTAGTAAGCATGATGGGAGTGAGACGATTGGACTTGGTGGTCTTAGTGGTCTTTTCCAGCCTTAGTGATTATATCTATGGTCTTCCCTCCAAGACAATGTTAAATAGCAGGCTGAGTAGCAGAAGACCGGGTAAAATAATCACTGAGGTGTATTAGCACTTGTTTGGAGCAAATGCTTGTGTTGAGGAAAGAATATGATTGAGGTGTGTTCAGTTGATTATTTTGACCACAGACACATACTCCGTTTTTAGCTGACAGGCTTCAAGGGGAGCTGCTCACTGTATGAGCAGGTGTAGGAGTCAGTGGAAACGCTCAAAGGTTGAAGTACTGCTGTCAGGGTTGTGGCTGCAGTTTCACAACTGTGGGTATGCTCGAAAGAACTTTAAACTGGTCGTCCCAACTGTCACTGTATAAATGAGTGCCTCTGCATAAATTGTTGGCTATGCATTCAGTTTTCGAAGCCTCAGCTCCTTGTTTTCTCTTGGACAAAAAGCAACACACAGGATATATAATCCCTAGCGTTTTGATATTTTCTGCAGATTTATTCCTCTTTCTACTCCCTCGTGATTCAAGATTAGACCTGGCTCTTCCTGGAACTGAGGTAAGAATAAATACTTGCAATACGCTGAATATAGTTCTTCATGGATCAAATATGTCCTTTTGGCTTCTTCAGCCAGTTAGCATATGTTATTATCAGGAAAATCTGTCTATTTTGAGTG